GTCGCCTGGTAATCCTTCCAAATCCTCCATTGTTTTGATGAAGATTATGAATCTAATTTTTATCTACAGATTTAAGATATTGATCGATGAGATTGACGGTTTCTTTATTGATTGGAAGTTACATAATAGGCTGACAAAATAGGATACGTTAAAATCATTCACTTTTTACAATTTTACCCTCTGAACCATTATGAACCTATTTTTTTTTATTAATATGATAATTTAAATAATTAAATTTTTAGTCTCAATAAATGACAACCGTTGGATGTTTAAATCAACGACCAAAATCGGTTAACAAAGTTAACACGATAATCTTGGTTAGTATTTAAACCAACCCCTATATATATATATATATATATATAAGTTAGGGTTGGGTTCCGGTGAAATCAGAGTTAAGATGAGAATCATAAATATAGATCTTCACCATTAGATGTACATTAGGATGTGATGCATCAGACCAATCCCCGTATCAAGCGTAATTCATGGGTGGGTTTGAGATTAAAGGTGATCACGGATCCAAATCCCTTATTATGATTTTTCATCTTAACTTTTCTTCTCACATGATAATACCCATATATATATATATATATATAACACCAAAAAAACAATATTGTGAGAGCAAAATATTGGGAAAAAACCAAAAAACTTGAGACTAAGCATACTCATCCAAAAATGAATCTTGTTTGCCTAAACTAATTAAACGTTTGCATTTCGTCATATTGGACTCCAACATGGATGACATAACGCAAGTTCAGACCAACAAATTGCGCACACCCACACTCTTTGCATTGAACCATACCTTATCGACCTACAAAATGACACACGTTGAACCTCATCCCAAGCTTCTAGCACAACCATGTTTATTGATTCACTGACATACAAAGGTAACAGAGTCATCATTTCCTAGTTCCCACTTCCTAGTTGGCATAACTTGATATGTCTAATTAACCCGTATCAACACTCTCCAAAATTTATACTCTTCCTCATGAAGCCTTATTCACATAGCCTTAAGAGTCAGCTCAACTGCCAAATAAATTTTAGGGCTTAAGATTTTTTTCCTGCGTAGTCGCCAGTACGAGTGTCTTCACCATTGAGGATTTTCCTGATTGTTATTTTGAACGTCCTATGAGATCAGTCAAGATCTAAGCAAGCTGACATGAATGCCCATGGTATTAAACAAAGCCACACTCCATATACACACGAGAAATACGTAGAAATAACGATTGAGTCACGTAGATCGTACATCCATGCATCTAAAACTATAAAACGGATTTCATAAATCCAAATAGTTGTAACAGATTTGAAGGTGGAGATCAACCAACCAATTTGATGGAAATAAATGGACTACATGTGGTTTCCTACCTAAAAGGCGTCGAGGATATAACTATCGCATTCAATGCCTCCAACTACACATTCTCCATAATACAACACACAATTTTGCTCACTCCATCGATCTTAAACCAATATCTCCTTAATGCTATCTCTCAATTATTCATAACGATTTTTTATAAAAACTAGAAATGTAGATGTATAATACAACACGATAATTTCGACTGTAAAAAACCTCATGGTTCTAAATAACTCGTTATGGCACGTTATTACGTCAAGACTTGGGTTAACCTCTATGGCTCCACTCTAAGACTTGGCTTACATTGTAACTCGTTATGGCGCGTTACAACGCGTTATTCTGTAAGGTTTGGGTGTTTTTAATATATAACTTGAGGGATAAATGATAATTATGTCCGAGACATAAGACTTAAATAAACATAAAAAGAAAACTTAATAACTAAAAGCCTAAATAGGTAAATATACTTACTCTTATTCACACTTTCATATACACAAAGAGTCAAACAAGAATTTCTTTGAAAATTAAAAAAAGTAGTGAGTTGAGATTCAAGATATTTAATCCTGATTTTGCACCTTTAAATCTAAGTGTGTGTGTGTGTGTGTATATATATATATATATATTGGTGTCTTAAGACACGACTTGAAAAACACCGTGACCTTGCCATAACTAGGCTTGACCTCGTCGTCATGTCACATCTAACTCGTTTAGAACCTTGATAAAGCCGAGAAATCGAGCCCTCATTTTTAATATATTAGATTAAAAAAGTAAAACTATGGTTTTTTATATAATTTGTTTAAATTAGAAAAATAATTATATATAACGAAAACTTAGATTTAAAAAAATTATATAAAGAGTTGGTTATCAATTAATTTTATGAGATTTTAAAAAGTTACATGTAACTGTAATAATTTGTAATATTTAATTTTATAGTATTTGCATTAATCAACAATACATGATGTTTAATAAATTGTTTTTAATAATTTTTATCAAATAATTTATAATAAAATATATATGATAAGAATATTAGGGGAGGGTGGGGGGAGGGTTTGGTCTATATATTCACACACACACAATTACACCAACTCGCCCTCTCCAATCCCTCTTATCTTGCAACTACAGAATGGTATCATCAAAAGAAGAAAGTCTGATTCATGACATCAAGATCTCGACGGTTGGACCAGGATACGTGTCTGGTCAAGGGGCGGTCCAAGAACTAACAAGCATGGACTTAGCCATGAAGCTTCACTACCTCCGAACCACTTACTACTTCCGAAGCCAAGCATTAGAAGGGTTAACAATTATAAACATTAAGGAAACCATGTTCTACTGGTTGAACCACTGCTATATCCCTTGCGGCCGTTTTAGGCGGTCTGAATCAGGCCGACCCTATATCAAGTGCAACGATTGTGGGGTGCGGTTTATTGAGGCTCGGTGCACCATTACCCTTGATGAGTGGCTCGAACTAAGAGATGATGCAAGACATAAACTTCTTGTTCCTAACCAAGTCCTTGGTCCTGACTTGTCTTTCTGCCCACCGGTTCTAATGCAGGTTTGCTTTGCTAATCCCTCTTTCTTCCTTTCAACACCAAAATATTTCTAGTAAACACTTAAGTGGTGTTTGATTAAAGATATTAAACAGTCACTTGTGTGATTAAAAATAAAAGAAATTGTTTGGTTTTATATAATATAATGGGTTCATCCTCCTATAAGCGTACATTTTCTTTCTAGTTAAACGGTGGAATAAAAATTCCTGTCATTTTCATTCTCTTAGGACCGTTTATCAATGTTTATGTGTTTATCGGGTGTCACTTACCTTAGAGGGTGACAAACAGTAAAAGACATCGCAAGAACTGAAATCCTTATCCAATAAGTGAGCGAGAAAACTTTTATCGAGTAAGAAACATTTACCAACAATATATTTTAATAGTCTGGATATATTAAATATTGTAAATGAATGATGATCTTTACTAGTAAAAGCTTTCTAATAAACGGCTCAGATTATTATTTAAAAATGTGAAATTAGACTTTTTTTTCTTTCTAAATATGTCATCGTCTAATAAACGCGATCGAAGACGCGTGTCATCATATCCATAGTCCTTCCAAAATTAGTAGGGTCTCCTATCCTGCCTTTTGGTTCTACATGAAGAACGTTTTTCATATCTATTGGATGTCTACCGTGTTGATTATATTTATACATAAGTGTAAATAAAAATAATATTTTATCGTGTTAACTTTATGGACCAATCATAATCTTTGATCTTTATAATTACAGACAAAATTCATTATGGAATTTTTGTAACAAATTAAAAAATGATGCTTAATAAACATAGGTAAATAATCATGAACAAAGGGTAATTTTAGAAAAAAGTAGGAGGGTTTCTTTTAGCATTATTTACTTTTCCGGTAATTACTCTATTGTTTTGAAACCGACATCAAGCTTTAAGTATTTCTTTATTTGTTAATATGTAATGTGTAACTTACGAATGATGTGAAAATATGAACAATTGTTATATATATGAGTAGCTTATGAATATTGTTCACCAATGAAAATATAACGTATATAAAAATATTCATTAGTGAACGCATACCTGAATGTGTACGTATGTGTGACTGGTGAATAATGTTCACCAATGAACAAGGAACAATGTAACTTCATTATAATATGTTAAACACACATACAAATTTCATTTGTGAAGGACATCCATCATAATATGTTAAGCACACGCACAAATTTGAAGAGCCAAATTTTAGGAACAATGTAACTCTCATATTTTGTAAATATATTCTTCCTAAATTTTCCCCACTTATTAAATATTTATATAAACTATTAAGCATCAACCAATATGAATTCCTATTAGACCATTTTGGTTTGTATAGATAACACAAAAGGTAAGGTTAACAAAAAGATCACACACACACACACACATATATATATATGTGTGTGTGTGTGTGTGTAAAAGAACCCTAGTTCTTGTTCAAATCATCTATCTCACAATGGATGTTCTTGTAAAAACTCCAAGAATAACTTCAACAGGAACCTCCATTATGAACTGGATGCTTTTAGAAAAAATCTCGAAACATGAGACTTTTTCTTTCCCTCTCATTTTCTTTTCATTTCATTTCCCTTACTTTCATTTGTAAAAAGAGACTCGAGAACACAATATTGAATATTTATTTTATAGTTCTCTATCCTAAAAAAATTATAAAACCTCTTTTAATTTGTTAGCGGTATATGAGCCTCTTGCCTCCTAGGAGGTCTTGGGTTCAAACCTCATCAATGGTGAGAAGAGTGTGTGAGTTTATTTACCATATTTGCCGTATATGAAATATATTATATACTTAAAAAAACCTTCCCTCTTTATATATGTATACAATCATATATATATATATATATATATATATATATATATATATATAGGTGGAGGTTCAAACGATAACACCTCCATTTTACGAGAACGCAAGAACACCTTTATCACATGTGATAATATGCGTGAGGGGACCCTGTGATGTACGAACGACGTGTTCTACGACTTAGGTCGTGCCAAAGGTTGTCTGCGTCTATGATTTAGCATCACATGTGATGGTATTGATGAATTATAGTATCATATCAACAACACTCTTATCACATGTGATAATACTTATGAGGGGGCTTGGTGGTGTAAGGTCAACTTGGCCCACAAACAAGATCGCATCAAAAATCTTTCGCGTCTCTGATTTAGTATCACATGTGATTGTCTATAATAAAAAGGTTTTCTTGCGTTCTTGTAAAATTAAAATGTTCTCGTTTGAACCATATATATATATATATTGATCTCTTAAAAAATCTATAATCGAATTTATCGTTATCAACTAAAATTAATATACTGTTTTTAAATTAAAAATGAATATCTGTTTTTTCTTTAATGCAGTTAACGAAGTTTAAATGCGGAGGGACATCAATAGGGGTGAGCTGGGCCCACGTCCTTGGAGATGCTTTCTCTGCTGCAGGCTTTATGAACCTGTGGGGCCAAGCAACCAAGAGACAATACCCGACCCAACCCCTCCGTATGACCCGTTCAGACAATATGGGCCATAACCCCAAAAGCCCAATAAAGGATCCACTTGCTGTAAAACGGGTTGGCCCGGTTGGTGATCATTGGACGAGCTCGAATCACTCGAAAATGGAAACATATTCTTTTTCTGTTTCTTGGCCCGAGCTGACGCGTCTACAGTCAAAGATATGTGGAGATAAAAACCATCAACAGATGCCACCTTTCGAGACCATTTGCACTGTGGTTTGGCAATGTGTAGCCAAGGCTAAACACGGGTCGGAAGTGAAGGTCGTGACAATCTGCAAACATGGCTCAAAAAAGATATTTGAAGGCGTTATCACAAACGAAGCCCAATTCATTAAGGTGGTAAAAACGGAATCTTCTGTTGAAGAATCAAGCCTTATGGAACTTGGGTTGCTGATTATGAACCAAGGTGTGGACGTGCGAAGGAATGTCAAGGAAGCAATGGAGACCAATACTGAATTACCCGACTTCCTGGTATATGGAGCGAACTTGACTTTTGTCGACTTGTATGATGTTCCATTTTATGAGTTGGATGTAAGAGGACAGACACCAGTTTACGTAAACTGCGCTATTGATAACATTGGAGACGAAGGTGTTGTGTTGGTCCTTCCGGCACGAAAAAACCACTCAGATGGCATGACGGTCAGTATAACGCTGCCCACGGATCATATATCAAAGTTTAGATCCGTGCTAAAGAAAGAGTGGTCTCTTTAGCGATCTTAAAATGCATATATGTATTTCTTATTCTAATTTAATTCTACCATGCAATTATATGTACTCGAGTGCAGAACCTTCGGGCTAATGTGTGTTGCCCATTGTGTACAATAAATCATTCGTACTTTAAAAAGTACCGGTTTGTCTCTGTATTTTTCACGATATTCACGTAAACAAATGTTCTACTCTTAAAGGTGTATGACATCTCTCTCTATATTAAAAATAATCCCCACCAATTTTGAAATGCAGACCTCAACTGTTTGACTTTGACTTTAAAAGTCTCACATTGACTAGTTTCTTGAACACAAGTACCTGTGGACATGAGTTTGATCATCAAATATCCATATTTCCATTGGCCACCTGGTGTAATCAAGAGATACCATAAAGTACAAATTGAAGATCATATGGAGATTACAATTAACAGAGTCACCAGCCATCAATAAAAATGAATATTGCCTACCTCTCTTCTTTCTTTTTCTTTGATATATATATATATATATTATATATATATTATCCCTCAGTTCCCCCCTATCTTACATTTCATGTAAATACTTCTATATTACAAACCAAAATTGTGGTGAAGTTGCAAGACTGCATACAAGTTTCTTGACACTCTCTTCACAAGCAGAAGCCACAAAAATGCATCTTTCCATGCTTATCATTCCTCACCATTTCGACCCGATGGAAATGTTCCATTTCAAGAATTTAGTTCTCGTTACCCAATGGTGCAAACCACATCATAGTTTCACGAAAGGCTCAGCTTTATCACGGGTGAACAACCCCAGAAACCACATCACAGTTTCATGAAAGTCATTCCGGAAGAATTGTGATTCAAAAGTCCCCGTTTCATCTCAAAAGCAAACCAGATTTTTGGTCCTTCGAAAGAGAGCTTTTCCCACAATCATAATTGAACTCCCAAGTTGATAAAACATCAACTAGTAGGGAATAACATATGGCAAAGCACAAATATCAACAGATTCCAAGTGCTTAGCTTCAGACCATACCTCAAGCTCTTTGTTATCTTGTAAAGCATCATCTTTGGTTGTCTTTTTGAAATGGGGATCACCTTTGCTGCTGCTATATAACCACTCTTGGTCATCTAGACCAGACCACTGCTCCATTTTTGGAACTGTGAGTATTTGCTTCAAATATTTGATATCGGGATGTGGTGGTCTGATTGATGCTTCAGCCGGTGGTTTCTTTTTGGAATTGGGCAACGGTTGTGCTGCAATTTTATTAGCAACAGCAACAACAGGAGATGGCTTTGTTGAGGAGATGGGCAGTGAATGTGCTAGATTTTGATTAGCAACTGTAGATGATGTTTTTGTTAAAGGATCGGAAAATGGCTGAGTTGGAATATGATTAGGAACTGAAGATGGTGGCTTAGTTGTAGGGATGGGCGATTGTTTAGTTGCCACATGATCTATACTTACAGGTGGCGACTTTATTGTGGTGGGTTTGCACAGAATGTGATTAGCAGTAGTGATTGGCGGTTTTTTAGAGGTGATGGTCATTGGTTGGGAAGGAATTACGCCATTGACCCTCCGTTCTTTACTATCCACCTTAAAACTACCCATTGTTGTCCCTTGCTTACCTGCTAGACTTAATCCTGGGTTTTGGAGAAAATCTTGTTTCCTTCCGTTCTCTGTCAAGATACTAGATGTGGGACGAGCCATTTTGTTTGGCCTAGGTTCATTCTCTGTAAGACAATTCAACTGTTAGCTGATAAGCAAAGTAGTAACAACCTGAAAATTCAATATTGCACAATGCTCAAGAAAATATTGGAGGCCGGAGGGGGGGAGCTGATAGATGTAAAACAAAGATTATGCAGACAGCCTATCGGATAAGAAAGTACCATAAATTTTCGAGAGCCAATAATGCGTTTGAGAAGGTTGAAGAGTCGATAGAAACAAGAATAACTGATATAATGGATAGGATTAAATGTTTTGTGGTACGAACTTAGGTAATAATATTAACCTCAGCTTCAGAGCCTAAATATTATAAACCTTTGCAAAAACAAAAAGTATGACCAAAATCAAATATTTCAAAAAGAATATGGTGTGGAATGTAGGGACAAGCTGAAACTTTTGTATCAAAACTGTAATTATACGAAAGACAAGCAACAGCAGTCTACCGACTCAAAAAGACCTGTTTTTCTAACCTAGCAAATTAAGGAAGAGTTTTGTTGCAGCATAGTCGACCAGAAATGTGGATACTGATCAGTGAACACATGGGCTCAAAGCAGAAAATATATTGGTCCTTTTTAAACATAAGATCTATATTCATAATTATCCTCATCACTTATAGTGATCATTGTTACATTATACCTTCACAAACTTACATTATTTAGCTATATCATAAGGCAATTCATTAAGTTCATAAAAGAAGAAAACTGAACACTGACTGGTGGATAAATATGTGTGTTGACGATGAAGAACAAAACAAACATTACGCAGCCTATCAGGCAATAACCATTAAAACAGCATTAATAACGAGGTCAGCCACTATATAAACCATCACACTTCATACAATGTTAATGTAGCCATGGTTTATAGTGTTTAAGCTTGTTGTGCTGCCACTATGTATAGCATTCGGTAAACTAGATATAGAAAAGTTCCCATAATGCAGTTTAAGACCCATATCAGATGTTTCATAAAATCCAAAATCTGGTGCAACATGAAGTATTTGATGAAAAAAAATGAGCGATGGAAGTATAGAACGTATGCTGGCATCTACAACATTTGCACCTGTGTCAAAGTTGCATGTGTAGTGAAATCAGAAGAGATGTGGATTTGACTTGAGGGTGGAAACTTAACAAAATAATAAAAAGTAAAAAAAAATTAACAGAGAGATAACTCACCATGAGAAAAACCATTTGTCTCCACATCTTTTCTTTTCTTCAGCTCACTACCAGCACGTTGAAGACCAATGTTAGGAGAATGTGTGGACAAATCCTTAAGAGAACCAATGGTGCCACTATTCTTCATATCCTTATTTTTGTCCCTCTCTGTCTTTGTAAGCTTGCTTGCTTTCTTCATTTTCTCCTCCTTTGTTCTATCCTTGTCCTTATCTTTGTCCTTCCCCTGTCTTTGCTTGTCTCTATCTTTGTTCTTTCGTTTATCTCCTCGTTTATCATCATTTTCTTTTTCTCGCATCTTCTCTTTGTCCTCGACCTTTTTGTCTGCCCACTTATCCAAAGGAGGCATTGTACCATCAATTATATTTTGGACCATTACCAGTCGGCCAAACGTTACCTCATTGGTGATTCGTGGCCCATCCGTTTTCGGAATCTCACCTCTGTCGACACTTATTTTTCTACTTTCAACAGGAAACTGGAGGCTGCCTGTTCTTTTTTCCTCATCTCTAATTCTTCTACCTAACTCCTGCACAAATTTAGAATTATTGATATCCTCAGCCTGAATTCTGTTCCGAACCAGCAATTCTTCATTTTGACCCCATAATTTTACAGATGACTTTTTATCATCTAAGGAATTGCAATTTTCTTTACAGGATTCTTCCTTCCTAAGAAGCAGCTCTCTGGGTTCCCCATTTTGAAACTGCACGGATGATTTCTTGTGGCCTGAAGAACCGTCCTTTTGCTTATTATGCTCATTTTTCTGATGAAGCATCTCTGCATTAGGACCCTCAAATTGTCCATCAACTCTTTTCTCATCTGAGTAATTGCTCCTGCCTTTCTCCTTATCTTTTCCATTCTCCTTATCTTTCTTCTTGTCCCTGTGTTTATCTTTCTTGTCTTTCTTCTCTTTATGCTTCCCATCACTCCTGTCCTTTTTTTCTTTACCTTCTCTTTTCTCTCTATCTTTTTTATCCTTTTTATGCTTCTTCTCTTTGCGCTTCTCCTGGAATTACAAAAAAAAGAGTAGCTGAATACATTTCTACCAACAAGGAACAGATGTTTTTAATTCAAGCATGACAAATCCCACAAGTAAACATGTAAAAGGAAACGTACTTTCACAAATTTGTGCATATTATTGAACATATGAATAAATGAAGAGAATTTCTTTGCAAGTAACAAATAAACTATAGTGCAAGTCTGCAACACTGAAATTACATCATCTTCAAAAGTGCAAACAGTTGGGCACGAAGACTACAAATGTCGTTTCTCTTCAATCACTGACGTTAAGTTAATATATAATTCTTATTAGGTTATTCTATTCATCTAATTGCCAAAAAGAGCTACTGCATTTTGCAATTACACAACATTATGATCAGAATAGGTAATTGACATCATCCAAAATAGCATCAAAATAACCATGTCCTGATGTGCATATTTGGAAAAACAAATGACAAAACAAGCTACTTATCCAAACATGTATCTCAGGTTCCCAAGAATGTCTTTGCTGTTCACCCTAGTGATATGTTTGAAGTGCCACACTCCTTCCAGTAGCTTCCTAAGATTAAAACTACCAGTTTTGATATCATCAGTAAACAATTTCAACTCTTGTTGCACTCAAAAAGTGCAAGTTGTTACTGTGGGATAATAAATCATCCTATAATTGCCGATAAATAATGTATAATTTCTTTCCATCAAACACAGAAACTGTCAGTCTTTCAAGCGAAGTCACTTGCTCCTTACCTTCTCCATTTGTCAAAATATCTTGAAGTTGATCATTTACAAAAATAAAAGCAATTAATGCTTGATACGAAGTATGAATCTTCTAACCGTGGTGCAGGCACGTTCTTAGGAGACAGATGTCCAGAGGGTCAAGAGCATAATGGCTGAGGGGTGAGAAGGGGCAGACCGAGGAGGACGAGGGATTAGCAACTGAGACGGGAGATGACGGCTTTAGAAATTTCCAAAAACATGAACTCATATAGGAGTTCATGGAGACACACGACTAGGATAGTAGGTTATGTGTAAGAACTTATAGTTGCTGTGGACAGGAAAGGGAGGTTAGAGAGGTAGAGGGTGGAAAGAGCCTACAGATAGGTTATCAGAGTCCTAGGATAGGTAGGGGCACTTTGGGGGTACTCATAAGTGGATTTTGTGCAAAATTAACCACAAGCATGTCTTTTGGATTACTTACTTGCTATTGTGTTCTATGCACTTTGTCTTTAGGTCATTTAGTTGCTTCGAACTTTCCCTTATGCTTTTAATGCCCTTGTTTTATATTTTTTCTTGCTGTTTCTTTGCTTACTTCCATATGTTCCAAGCCTTTCCCCCTTCCTCAAAATTGTCTCAAGCTCTTCATGCTTTTGAAAATTTCGCTTCTTCCAAATTATAGACAAACTTCCAGAATCACTCAAGACTCCCCCAAAACTTCTTCGCAGAACCTTTTTCACAAGCCAGAGTCTTCAGGAAAACAGTCTCTCTAGCTGATGGGGTAGAGGAAAGGTTTGCGTACATCTTACTCTCCCCAAACCCTACTTCGTCGGGATTTACGGAGTACGTTTGGTTTTGTTTGGTTAGAGTAGAACTCAAGTAATTCACATAAAAAGGATGTGTTGACTATAAACACAAGGTTAAAAAATCCATGCTCCATCCTATTGGAAGTGCAATGTTTTCCATCTTAGGAAGTTGGGACCTTCCTTATTAGATGTCACATTGTGTGTTTTGAAAGGTGAAGTAAACAAAATGGCCAAATCCGCACTTGTACTTACAATGGTAATCATAATCTGATCCACAAGTGGGTTTCATTATAGTTTCTACTTTAAATTCAACTTTTCAAATTCTATCAAGAAAGAATCTACTTATCCCCACGTGTACAACTCGGTCTCAATTAATTAATATCCTAATATTTCTTCTCTAAAACAATATCCTGATATAACATACAAGGGGATTTGGGGAAACTCATTAGTAATTGAATATCATCCATGTTCATTTGCACAAATTTCAATTTGGAACCACATAGGTAAGATAAGTCTTATTGTTGTCAATCCTTTCTTCCTTTACATGAGGGGGTTTCGTTCACTAAATCTATCGGGTAACTAAAATATGATATATTATAAAGACCATGTTACCTATCTTCTCATAGTTATAGATAGCAATAGAATACTTGCTTTTAGAGGTATAAGAATGATGGAGAAATGCTTGTGGTGAAAAAAGAATAAAGACACCAGCGCATCACAGTACACAATAAAGGATGTGAAAAGTTGAAAACCAAAATAACTTAAAAGGCATGTTAGAGTTTAGACTTAGCATTCGGGTTATTACTTTTTTTCTATGTTGTCTGTACTTAGGATTCTTATTTTGCATGCCACTTATCACCTCAAGCATATCTTGTTGCTCTAGGGAGGGGGTTGAGATATGTTTTGGACCCCATGGTTCATTAGAAGAACAACTAACTTGCCATCGTGGAGAATAGCCGATAGAATGATTAACAACCAAAAATCTTCTTAGTCAAATTTGTAATTGACTGTTGACACAATTACGTCAACCTAAAAAGAGATGGCCACAAACAATATCTTAAGTTCAATAGTAAAAGCGTAACAAGAGTTCTGTTTGCTTAATTATGACTCAAAATGCAATATGAAACTGTGAACTCTCAGTTCATATGGTAGGATGCAAAAATAAAAGGGAAGAAGATTTCAGTTTTCTCATAGATTATAGAAGTGCTTTGCATTGTAACATTAACCATGTCACCAGATGTTAGTGGAGAATCAATGACAAAGAAGCCACTCTTAATTTCCCCAAACTTATGTTTTATAACTAATGTATATAGTCTTGGAGATCAACTCGACCAGTTCCCAGGGAACATTTATTGGACATTGCTCAATATGGTAAATTGGAATTTATCACCAAAAAGCAACAGGTATCTAGTTTCTATTGTTCATCTTTTGGTGTGGGAGATTGTTGACCTTCTTGTTCTAAATGGTCCATCTCCCATTAAGCTTTAAAGCACTAATCTAGCTGAAGATAAGATCAAATTATTATGTGAGCCTTTCAACAAGAGACATGCACATTCTTAAAAACTTCAAATAATGATATTAACAAACCAAATTGGAATTTGTTTAAGAGATCTCATCATGTCAAATTGAATTGTCTTGTCCAGTGAGTTGGTTAATCTTTTGTGGTTTTTGTCATATCAGTGTGATGGAATAGGATAAAGCTAGTAAGGACCAACTACATTAATAGGTGACCAACAGTAAGATGAAAATGTCACTAGTGAAAGGATAGCCAGAGCTTATCATCCTGAAAAATGTTGCATGCCAATAAACACCTCTGTCATACACGAGTTTATAGCATAGGATATGAAAGAAAAAGAGAAATCTTATGTTCTGTCATTTGCTAGTATAGTAAATTGAACTGTACATTTAATCAAGTTCGCAAATAGAAACGCCATATCTGCATGTATCAACCCATTAGCATTATTTGCGTCTACAACAGATCCTAATGGTTGTTTCTCTAATGAGATTGGATCTTGCCTCGTATAACCTCATTCCACTAAAAGATGTAGAATCCACATTGATAGATTTAGAATAGAGACTAATGAAAATGAGCCAAACTCGCATACAACCTTGTCTTATACGGTAAATGGGGACTTAGCAAAATAGAATGGCAAGTATGTTTTCTAACAAAAAAGAACCCATTACTGTATCTAGCATCTCAATTTTAGTGATTTTCAGTGTTGAACTACGTTCTCTATCAATTTTAATGACCGCAATTTTTTATTTTTAATCAGTGGAGAGCAACAAAATAATCTACTTCAAAACAAACACCATTCTTAAGGAAGCTCTTCAAATAGTAAGACAAAATGAGGTACTACAAAACGATTTGAATGAATGTAGTCAAAAAGTACATGCACTATTTCATGATCGTGCGAATTGACTTACCTTCTTCAGCAAGTCGGCATCATCGGTTGTGGGTTTCTTTTCATATCCAGGTGGTGGAAATGGAAAGCACCGAGACATTGCACAAGCTCCCCGAACAAGTGATACTGAAAACTTTGACAAACAAAAACTTTGCAACTACTTTTAAGCATGACCATTCCAATGTGGAAGGGAACAAGCAACTATTCTCCTCTCCATTAACCATGTCCTCACACTCATTTCCAGATTCAATGCCCTTCCATGCACCTCTCAGACTCAAACTGCAAAACCCACAAACAAAATCAATTTGCCTTCCACCATGATTATAATGCAAATTAAACCTCCCTACCATGAATAGAAATCTAATGTCAGGCTAAGAGTAACACTTACAGTTGGAAAGCCAAACATAAATAGCACAAAAGGTACAGCATGTACAAAATTATTCTTGACTATGTGAATCCAAATGATTTCTTGCAAAAACCTAAGTCAACCATTTCTGCGTTTCCAACTCTTTTCATACCTTCCATCCAACTAACTCCACTTCCCCAACAATTATATCTACCAATCTATTAATGTTATAAGAACCCTTAAATTTTGAACCATAAGATTCAATAATCCAGCTCTTGATCACTGCCTATGCACTAAAACAAGGATCAAGGATTTCTCATCGTAACGGTTGGTGAAATAGGAATGCACTCTAATGGAACCCAATCTCAAGGATCTCCGATGACAAATTGATCGAAACCCTAATTCTCCAAAAACTCAATGCGATCGATCCAACCCTAAACCTGAAAACCCCAAACCTAATTACACAATACCCTGAATCTCAATTTACTAGGAATCCAAAAAACCCTCCATACCAGAGTTTTCTTTTTTTCAAAATTGTATAGGAATAAAGCGAAAATTGCAAACTTTTGTTTTCCTCTTATAGCTATCCCTTTCTAAAGGCACCTATGAAAAGCGCTTTGTAGCTCGAATCACAAAGGATCGTGCTCTTTACACATTTCATTACAGAAAAAAACGCATGAAGTGATGATGATCGATTAATTAGAATTGAACACACCCACACACATACGTAATTCAATTTACCTTGTCCGCTAAAAAGTGGACATTGTATATGAATTGGAGTAGAGATAATCGGATACAGAAACACTTTTCGCTGTGTAAAATCTCAATCAATCTCCAATGGTTTAAGTGTGTGTTTGTAAGGGTTTTTTGAGGAGAACTTCTGTGAGTAGGTTTTCTGTTCGGGAATTACACGCGAAAGAAGAAAAAGGCAGAGGCCCGAAATCCACATTTATATATTGACAACGCTTTTAGAGAGAGAGATTCTTTCTCTCTCTACCAGCCGCTCCCTGATCTTTTATCCAAGTGGACTGGAAAATTGGGGTCTCATATTTGCTATTCCAACCCCTCAACTTTTATACAATTTCAATTTTCATACACAAATTAAATATCACAATTTTCAAGGACTAAATTACTAAAATTGTCTATTTGGTTTACGTATAAGGTCAGGCTTAAAGAAAAATCGTAAAAAATGAAAAACTAAGGAATATTTTGATAATCGTTCATTGAGACAGTATGCACATGTACATACAAGTAAATTGTAAGCAATTTAACTGGTATGCACGTGTACATGTTATACACACGTGCATAAAAACCAAGAAATTACTTCAATTATTTGAATACACATGTATATACTTCCAGATGAATGCGGGTGTTACTCAGTTTTTTTTTTTTTGGGTTTTCTCGATATACATATATGCATATATATTGAGTATTCGTATCTTGAAGGAGGTTTAAATGAGAACGGTACAAAATAAAAGAACACGAAAAATGGTCAAATCTCATGTAAAATCATATATTATTTTACACTAACAATCAACGCAAGGTGTGCGGCAAGGTGTGAGGCAATGTGTTCCGCAACCTCAGGTCAAGACCAAATTCGCATGAATCTGTTAGTGAATGCCCAAAAACCAATCATATGATGATTGTAACTTTGAGTTGGATTCATGAAATTGATAAATATAAAGGCATTGCCCATTTTATTATGTCTATATTATGTTATGTGTTTTAATTATTCATAATAAATAACCTTAGAATAATGTATTCTAAATGTCCCTAGTTAAATATTATTTCGGGTTTAAGGTTGAAGTAATATGATAATGACTAGCATATGTAGGGATTCATATAGAGATATCGAATGCATATGGGTACAAAATGGAGACTTTGTGTATCGGACGTGACTYGTTATGAGAACACTTCATTGGATGTCATGTGAGTGTCATAAGTGTTTCTCATATGGTCAATGTACATGTAATTCTTTGACTTGAGAACATGGAGTGTTATGTGAAAGTAATGTATTTTGACATTTATTCTAATCATTCCGTAACTGGGTGACAGAATGATAGTTGGGTTATGTTGCATATCACATAATAGAATTAGCATGTATCGAGATAGGATTTGTCCCTCCTTTATGACGGGAGTGATGTCTCTGGGCCCCTTGATAAATATATACTATAGAAATGCATGCATGCTTAGATAATTGATATGAGATATCATTATCTATTTTTTAGTATATTAAGGAATCAAGAAACTAGAGATTGGACATAACGAGAATGACGCATTCAATGTCTCGTGTTCAATCTGGATATCAAGGACAAAAGAATTAAATATGTAAAACTAAAATTGACTACTAATTCTCGTCATTTAGGTAACGGTGATGTATTGCTAGATACCGCTCATCGTTTATAACTATAAATATGAGATTTATATTTATTGCCAACATGTCGAGAACCCATTGGGCCACACGCTTTGAACATATTCGAATAAGGAGTTTTAATAATTATAATGTTTAATTATCATATATGATTTGTATCGATTTAATCTGATTAAATAAAATCAGATATTATTTATGTTGGACATAAATAAAGATGACTAGGGATGACTTTGTAAGAGAGTGATGGTGTATGATTGTCTTACACTCAAGCATGGTGGAGGCATAGTGATAGTTAGGTCATACATCTCATGTCCATATTAAATGTATGACATTTTTATGCTAGTTAGTTTTTGTCTTGCAATTCTCTCTTAAAAACCACCTACAACAATATGCTTCCTTTTCTTTCTAAGTTTGAAACCATGACTAGCATCATGAGAAGGCAAAGGATTCGGATTGTTCACGTGGATACCGTGGAGGCATCAAACTTTGTTTGTTGTTGTGATTCAAAGTCTCGCTAACTGTGAGGTATAATTTCGAAACACCCGATTTATTCCGGTTCGTATGGATCCTTGGAGGTTACGGTTTTATTTTCCGCTGTGCTTGAGATCCCGTAACCCAACAGTGGTATCAGAGCTACTTACGAACCTCTAGATCGATTTTTTTTGACATACATGCTATATTAAAAACTGTTTTTGCTGTTGTATGTTTTTGTTTCGTAAATGTTTTGATTTTTTTCGTCCCAGAAATGTTCTGAATCTCGAAAATCTTTAAACATAAAAAACCTAGATATTTTCTGTCAGCTTTCCACAGCTTTTTGAATCGCATCATTTCGACTTCATATGATTTTTTTATGAATTGTTTACGACAGTGTCGCAATGCTGTTTGAAAATCGAACCCACTACGGGTTTGACTTGGTTTTCGACCCATAAGGGTTCTAGATCTTTAAAATCCTAAAACATAAAAGATGTAGATCTTTTTGTTAGTTTTTCAAAGAACTTGGAATTTTTCAATGTTGTATGAATTTTTTATTATTTATACGGTGGTGTTGCAAATCGATTTTATGTTTCAATGTGATTGAATATGTATAATGTGATTTTATGTTTCAATGTGATTGAATATGTATAATGTGATTTGTTTGGTGAATGGTTATAGCTCTTAGTCTTGAATGTATTATATTTGATAAATACGACTTGTATTAGGGATTTGGAGGCATGAGTTGGGAACATTTATATGATAAATTTAAATAAAAGTTATTTACTCAACTATCCAAGAGTTACATAGAGATGTAATTAGTAATGTTGTTGCTTACCTAAAACATTATTGGTTGATCGGTTAGCTAAAGCTAAATTGATTGATGATGAAAATATGGATCTTGGCTCGCTAGAAAACTTGTGACGTTTTCCGAAACAATAAAATAAGGTTGTTGTTTTGATTAAAATAGTGGGAGCTTGTTTGATGAAAGTCCTTATTAAACAATAATAATTTCATAACACTAAGAACTCTACTTTTTTATTGTAGATTACCAATGGCATAAACCAACAACGGAAACAAAAACACTTTACGATCGCTTCTTGAGAAAGAAAAACTTAACGAACAAATTTCATCAATTGGTATCGTAATTTGAGAATTGTCCTCAAAGCTGAAAAGAAACTATATGTCTTGGAGCAACAAATCTCTGAAGAGCCTAATTCCAGTGCTCCGAGAACTGAAAGGGACACTTTCAAAAAACATGATGAGGATGCTTTGGACATCTCATGTCTAATGCTAATAACCATGGAACCTGATCTTCAGAAACAACATGAAAACATGGGGGCGTTCGATATGATCGAACACCTAAAATTGCTATTCCAAGTGCAAGCTAGACATGAGAGGTATGAAACATCCAAGGAATTATTCCGTTGTAGAATGTCTGAAGGTWGTCCCGTTGGCACTCATATGCTTAAAATGACTGGGCATATTGAACGCCTTGAAGGACTAGGTTTCTCTTTACGAAAGGAGTTAGCCATTGATGTAGTTTTACAATCGTTGCCAAATAGCTCCAGTCAATTTATGATGAACTACAACATGCATGACTTTGACAAAACCCTTCCAGAATTGCTCAACATGTTACGAACTGCCAAGCAAGAACTTGCAAAGAACAAATCCACCATTTTGATGGTTCGTAAGGATAAGAAATGGAAAGGCAAAGTAAAGTCCATTGCCAAACCCACTTCTAAATCTTTGAAGCCAAAAGGAAGCATTAAGAAACCCAAGGTAACTGTACCTAAGGAAGGTGAGTGCTTTCACTGCAACAAACCCGGGCATTGGAAGAGGAATTGTCCTCTCTACCTTCAGGWAAAGAAGAAAKGAAATGTAACATCCACTTCAGGTATCTATGTGATAGAAGCTAATCTTTCTACTTCTTATACATCATGGGTATTATATACCGGATGTGGTTCTCACATTTGTAGAAACATGCAGGAACTAAAAAGGACTAGAAGGTTGAGCAAATGTGAAGTTGATCTACGCGTTGGAAATGGGGCAAAGGTTGCTGTTATAGCCGTAGGATCTATTTTGTTAACTTTACCGACCGGATTAATATTAGAACTCGATGACTGTTATTGCGTACCAACTATTTCTAGAAATTTGATTTATGTATCTTGTTTAGACAGGAAAGGTTTTACCTTTAATATTGGGAACAAATGTTGTTCATTCTCTATTGGTAATATATATTATGGTGATACAAGTTTGATTAATGGTCTTTATGTTCTTAATATGGATAATCCGATTTATAACATAGATAAAAGGGAGGTCAAATCGAATAGTTCAAATTTAACCTATCTATGGCATTGTCGCCTTGGGCATATAAACGAAGTTCGCATCTCCAAACTCCATAAAGATGGATTATTGAACAAATTAGATTTTGAATCACATGGGACATGCGAAGCTTGTTTAAAAGGAAAGATGACAAAGGCTCCGTTTGTTGGATAAAGTGAGAGAGCAAATGATGTATTGGGAATTATACATAGTGATGTATGTGGCCCGATGAACATACAAGCTAGAGGTGGTTATAGATACTTCATTACATTTACTGATGTTCTCAGTAGATTCAACTATATATATTTGATGCTACATAAGTCCGAGTCCTTTGAGATGTTCAAAGACTTTCAAAATGAAGTACAAAACCAACTTGGAAAGAGTATTAAGATTCTTCGATCTGATCGAGGTGGCGAATACTTAGACCATGTTTTTCTTAATCATCTTAGAAATTGTGGTATCGTGTCACAACTCACTCCACCTGGAACACCGCAGTGGAATGGTGTTTCCGAAAGGAGGAATCGTACACTGTTGAACATGGTACGATCTATGATGAGTCAATCTGATCTTTCGACGTCCTTTTGGAGATATGCTCTAGAGACAGTAGCTTTCACACTAAACCGGGTTCCATCAAAATCTGTTGAAAAGACACCATATAAGATATGGACTGGGAAGAGTCCCAAATTATCTTTTATGAAGATTTGGGGTTGTGGGTTTACATACGCCGTCTAATCACAACTAAATTAGAACCAAAATCTGATAAATGCATATTTGTAGGATATCCCAAAGAA